GTAACCTGGCCATAGATTGCTTTGATCTTTGAATGTTTTCATTGTGATGCACCATGGTGGGTAGACGGTTGATCGAACTTAGTCTGACATCTCGCCTCATACCTGCCCAACATGGGCGTCAATACTAGAAACTGAGGCTTCCGCTAGCATAGCTGCGAGTGTTACTAAGGCACGCAATCTCCGCCGTCACGTCAAGACAGAAATATATTTCATTTACTCAGATGTAACAACATTTATATGAATATTTTAGATTCTTCTCGAGAAGTCGAGGCTGAACAAAGAAGCCGCTGAAAAACTTTACCGAGATTATAAGGAACTTTGCCTTGAAAATCAGGCTCTGGCTGCTCAGCTCGGCGAATATCAAAAGGAACCCGTCAAGGCGGTCTGATATTCGCGTTTTACATTAAGATGGGTTAAAGCATGTTCTGTAATAAATAAAATGTCCAATGTTCGTAACTCATGTCTTTCATAATTTTCAGGATCTAAGAAGACTGTGAAAAGAAATCAGACACCGAGGGGTACTTTGATATGATAAAGTGACCCAAAAAGAAGATTAACTCTATTAACTCTGTTAGAAGCTTTTCCTCGCGGCTCGAAAAGAGAAGCAGTCAAGGAAAATGAAGAAGCTTTTTCATGGCGAGTGTTGATCATCTCGCTATAGACCAATTGGAGAACAGAACGACATTTTTAAATGATGGTGAAAGACACCTATTTTGAAATATAGTCTTTGCCACAACAGGGAAAGATTTTTAATATCAATTCTTAATTCCATTTCAACCGACCCGACATCACCATTGAGGATTGTTCTGCTGCTTAAGCTTTGTTAGCCTTAGATGATGATTTCTTCAACAGTCTCGTCGGTTTTCGGGTATTTTACCACATTTGGTCTGAAGTTGAGTAGCGATAGCAACGGTGGCATGTACCAATGAATATGGCAAGATGACAAGATCTAACGCTTCAGTGATACATGAAGGATAGCAATAAACGCAAAGGGTAAAAGACAAGCAAAACCAGATTTTAATTAGCTATGATGTTTTTTATATTCCTGAGATTTTGTATCATCGTTAGCCATCTGCCTAGGCAGAACGTTTCTGGTTTGTGATATACTACTTACTCTACGTTGTTTTGTCGATGTTGCGTTTTGATTTTCAGGTCGACGTCTGCCGCATTTTGGCCTCCATATGAGAAGTTCATTGGTAAATAGTTATTGGTTAAATAGTTATGCTTAACCAGTTTCTCTAACAGGGTTTCAGTCTCCTTTTCTTAATTTCCGTTCCTACTCAGGTGATCTTTGCCAGGAGTGGAATCTAGTCATTCCTTGCGTCGTCCTGCCATTTAACCTTCATTATGCATCTACTGCTATATGCCATTTCAGCCGTCGTTCTTGCTGCTTCATTAGAACGACGTCGCCATGTCGTACAACAAGGTCCAAGCGGATTTTCGATAACAATGAATAAGGACTGATCAGAAACTAAGGTGACTAATATAGCATTTAGGATCCTGGTATATTCGATCTCAATGAGAGATTCTAATATGTCTTTGGAAAGTGTCTGAAGCTCTGCCACTTTAGACGGATTCAATTCGGTTATGTACTTATTCCGCCCGTATAATCAGGCTATGTTTGTGAGTAGTTTTCTGACCAATCAGAAGCATGTGTAAATGACGTACGAGTGATTGGTTCATTTGACGACCATCCAGAATTTGGTCTCTGCAAACATGTTACGACACAGCTACCTTCAGCTAGAGAGAAAACATGTAACATCTATTACTTTACTTCACCGCCGCTGCATCACGATATTGTTCCGGCAGCGAAGACAACAACAGTAGCTTCCTCTGGGACGCGAAGCTAGCTACGGCGGCTTCCTTTGATGAAGCAATGCAGCTGGACAGTAAAATCAAAAATCCCTTCTGACTAGCTGTCATATTTCATGCGTAATCAGCTGACACACTGACAGCCGCTAGGAGAATCGATCGCCTTCGATGCCACATTCTTAGATGACTCAATGCATTGAAAGTAGCTGCTTTTATATGACTGCACTAAACAAGCAATTCTAAATGTAATACAGAGACCACTTATGAGGATAGTTAACAAGAAATATTTGGTGAACGCTAACCGCGGCACTGAAGAAGAGCTGTAGGTGGGATGAAGAATTGTTCAGTTACTTATGTCCTATCAGGTAAGAGGAATAAAGAGATAATTACTGAGTAAAAGGGACGTTAAAGTGAAAAGTCTCAGGTGGTACTGGTCGAAGGTGCGTCAAACCAGTTATCCAGTCGAGGAGAAGACCGCTGTAGCAACAGGGCATGAACCTGTGAGTAAAAAAATTGGCTATCCCCCTCTACGGTAGCTATCAGCGGGTCAAAGGAACTTGCAGCCAAAAGGATTTTAGAGAACTCTGTGACAGTTCGAATCCTGAAAAACCTTCTTTAAAGCTAATTCTTTTGGGCAAGGAACAGTACAGGGTTGCCCCGGTCCAACCAACCGAGAAATAGGAGATAAATACTTGGTTAGGAAGCAGTCTGGTGCTTTCGTATGGTCATACAGAATGAACGAGGCGGAGGATCATGTTGTCTGATGTAAGCGCTTCCTGGACAAGAAGTTGCCTTGACTCACCTACTTGCTGTTATCGTTATTCAGTAGGATAATTAGCACAAGCAAACCCTTGTTTGCTAGTTTCTGTAAGGCGCCCGCGTTTGACAGCACGACCGTGAGTTTCACACCTGATTTGATTGCACTGGAGCACCATGATGTCCATATTTTTCCAGCGTCAACGATTCTCTGCCTATCTCTCGACTGGTTGTAATGAGGTACAGCGCGATAAATTCCTTATTTAACGGAATTAGCGGTTTGGAGAAATTTTTTTGCTTCGCATGGGATTTGAATCTAACACCTCCAGAATTCACTGCTAATCATTTACCCACAGTGGTAGCCCAGCCCTCCCAAATATTGCGCTTAACGAAGTGCTTGGGGTCACGGCATTAAGGTAGGGAGGATAATTTCTTAGATCAGTAAACGGCGATTCCAATGAAATGCTCGATGCCAGTTACGATGGTCCATCCTGAAGTTTCTTCTTTAATGAACTGCCTGGTAGTGAATAGAGTAATCGAAGTTGCGGAAAGCTGACTAAGTGTAAGCATACTAGTTTCGCGAAAGGCTCTCTTTAAGCAATATTCGAAGTAGCCAGGACAAAACTAAGATATGGCAAAATTAATTTGATACGTGTGACTCGCATTGCTTACTGTAACCAAATGCTGGACATTACGTTGGATGACAGAATGATAATTCCGTCGTTCAGTGAAATTGTCAATTCTAAATTGGAAGGATGGCACAAACGAAAATTATTTCGCGTGAAATGTTCTCATCAGATGCACGAGTCCCTTTCCCGAATTCACGCGGTATACTCTCGCTATTTAAAACGTCATAAGGGATCCTTTGAGCACATCATGGATCTATGTTATTATTAGCACCTTCAACGCAGGGATGTAAAACAGCGTGGGAATCCCGGGAAGTGACTTGCATATGCTGCGCTGGAAGGCAGCACTGAAGACTGGTATCAACTAATAAACACAATATCATAGGTATAAATTCAGTCCGATTAAATTCAAGCAGATACGTTCCAATGATTGATTGTTCGCGGCACCAAATACAACAGATCGTAAAACAGTTCATTTCTGACGCGTTTCTTTACGTAGGCCGTA